GAGAGAGAGAGAGAAGCGCGTAAAATAATAAATAATCTCTATTACACGCGAGTACGATAAATCAATGCCTATCTGGACTGACGTATGATATGCGATTCCGGGTGCACTCCGCCGCGGGAATACATCCCCGAGCGATCCTCGGAGGCGCCTCTACGCGAGGGAACGTCTTTGACACAGTGCGCCGAATCGCAAAAGCGCGCGATTAATCTTCGTAACCCTCTCGCGTTACCGCGAAGGCGAAGCGTTCTCGCGCGATATCGGCAACAATGTTAATTAGTCCGCGGGATAATTTATATCCCGACACTTCATCGCCATCCGGGAGCGATGCGGATTACTGTAGAGGAAAGGGAGGAGGGAGCGGACGCTCCGGACGCGGACGTAAATCACAAGCGAGATGCGATGTATGGAGGAAACCTGGCTCCTCTCGTCTCGCTCGAGAGCATCGCCGGTTAAATATTGAATGAAGATCCCCGTCCACACGCACGTGTATGTGTGGATACGTATACGTATATGTGTATGTGTATGTACGTGTGCGCGCGTCGGACACGACCGGCATGTTAGACGGTCTCGGCCTCCTGGTCGGTGTTGCCGGTCAACGAAGCATACCATAGCGATAGCATCCACTTTATTACGGCGATCGTAAGCATGGACGACGTATTTATCGGCCAGTGATTCGCACCATTTACCTACTACAACCAAGCTCTCGCGCGATGAAAATTACAAGCTAATCTGGACCTGTAAGTCAACGTATGTGCGAGGAATGTGTGTATCCCTCGAAATAACATGTTGATTATCGTCGATAAAACGCAATTATTTATTATGTTTTAAAGCTTCATCTTCCGCAGCTTCTGTTCTGTGCTTAAATTAACTACGATGAATTACAACCTTTCTTGAATCGTTTCATAAATTTACACGATGCACAGCCTGGCGATCAGCAGTATATTGATGAGAATCGGCCGTATTACTTATGTTACTTCGATGCTTTTTTTGTCGAATAACTGCAGTTAATCAATTAATTATCAATAAAGACCAAATCTCGCACAAAGATTGGCAGTGACAAGCAACCGCGACCTGTTTCAACTGCATTACTTGCTATGCTTAGTTCCTGGGCTGACTATTCTTGTCGTGACGCTATAATGCCATTTACTGCAGCATAGCGTGCAGCAAAAGGGAGACGTTGACAATTCCAAATGGCCATCAAGCCGCAGTCTCTATCGTCCTTCCGCCAGTGTTATGCATTTCCACTGTTGCTGACAACGGTTAATCGATAGATCGATAATACACAAAACCCAACATCATTCAATAACAAAATTTTGTATTATCGAAAAATAAAAATTAATTAAAAGATATGTAAAGTGAAAAGATATGTAAAGTGTCTTTTAATTTTTTTTTAACATTTTATCACAATGAAATAATTATAAGGTTATAAAATTATTTTTAATTTCTAAATAAATGTGTGCTAGAAAGTAACGTAAAACCTTGCTTATAAATGTTAATTTATTCCCATCACACATTTATTATTATATATTATATTATTATATAATTTTAATTATATATTTTTTTAAACAAAAACATTTTTTAATTTTTCATGATACGATACAATAGCACGTAGAAAAGATTTTTAAAAATATTTGCTATTTCTTTGTCGAAGCTATAAGAAGAAAATGGACTGTTACAGGACGTACGTGCCTTGTGATTTAACTGAATGCAATGCGTGACCGAAGGACAAGGTCCATGAAACGTTGTTATTTGAGGGAGAAAGAGTGTTTTGCTACGTGGTTGGAGTCCCCCGTGGCTGCTGCGCGTCTGAGAGCAAGGGTGGAAACTGTGGAGCGCACGCGAGGGTTGCGATCGATGTTAGCCCCACCCCGATGCAATCTCACGGAAAACGGAAGCAGTGTCGTTGATCCGTTTGCATCAAGCTAGACGAATCGGCGACGATGCTTGAGGCTGCAGCGAGCGGAAGACTGCGCTTTTCATCAAGGATCAACCCACAATCATAATTATATATCCTAACTATACATCCGATTGATATATACTACATTGTAATATATAATTATTAGGCAAAGTGAATGAGATGTTGGCAATATTTTTCAATAGCCTGA